GTGTGAGGGGGTGTGGGGTGCTGGGTGAGGGTGTGACATGGCATTGAGGGGTGTGTGAGGGGTGTGGGGTGCTGGGTGAGGGTGTGACATGACGTTGAGGGGTGTGGGATGCAGGGGTGAGGGTCTGACGTGGCATTGAGGGGAGTGTGAGGGGTGCAGGGTTGAGGGTCTGGTGTGGCGGTGAGGGGTGTGTGAGGGGTGTGGGATGCTGAGTGAGGGTCTGGTATGGTGTTGAGGGGTGTGGGGTGCTGGTTGAGGGTGTGACATGGCTTTGAGGGGTGTGAGGTGCAGGGGTGAGGGTCTGGTGTGGTGTTGGGTGTGGGGTGCTGGTTGAGGGTGTGACATGGCATTGAGGGGTGTGTGAGGTGCTGGGTGAGGGTCTGACATGGCTTCGAGACGCACGGTCTGAGCCAGGGGAGTGCTGGCTGCTGGGGCCAGGGCCTGATGCAGCATTAAGGTGCAGTGTATGTGTGGGATGCTAGGACTTGGTGCCATGCTGAGAGGCAGGGGGTGTACCCGGGGGGAGATGGGTGCTGCCGCCAGGGTCTGGTGCTGCGTTAAGGTGGAGGATGCATGTGTGCTCGGTATGGGGTGCCAGGATCAGCGTCTGGGTAGTGCTGAAGTCCAAGGTGTATTTGGGATTGCACAATGTGGGATCCTGGGGTCAGGGGTCAACCGTGGAGCGCTTTCGTGAAGCCCTGGTGCGGGGTGTCAGCACACAGGGTGTGTGCAGGCTGTGGGGCGCTGAGGTGTAGGGCTCTGGTGCAACGCTAACGTGCAGGGTGCTTGTGGGGGCATGTGGCTAAGGCGAGAGCTTGGTGCACCGCTAATGTGCAGGGCATCAAGAGGTGCTGGAACTCTTGGGGGAAAGAGCTGTGAATTGGCCTGGTGGTTTTTAAAAGTTATGGAAAGGACTGTATGTGGCTGGGGCTGACAGTGGAGAGATGCTCGCAGGGAACGGCTTGTGAGATCGTCAGGTTAAGAGTGGACGAGTTATAAGCATCCTCATCCTTTTCCCTCAGTTTGTATCTTATACCCTAGCTACCAGCAGGCTCTTCTTCTGTGCTTCCAGAGCCCTTGGCCGAATATGAGGTCGCACGGCCCACCTTTTCTTGTAATTCCCCTTTGCCAGTGCTGCTGTATTTTGAAATTGTATAGCTCTTGATACAGCTACACAGCTGATGATTTTGACTGTCTGCCAATGCTTATGTGATGGCTCACAACAGCTTGTCATTCCTGGGTCACCCCTCGGTCACTGCTTCCCGAAACCGGCAATTTATAAATACCGGCATGTTGTGAAAAACCTCCCCCTACTGGCAGATTATTGAATAAGTTATTCTTTACACCATGTTCTAGTAGTTTTTGAATACTATTAGTCATCTTGGAGATAGGATATTGGGAGTGACTGAATCTAGGGTTTCAGTTATCTTTTCTGTTGTGTTGCTTGTCATGCAAGAAAGTTAATGTCATACAGCAATTATGCCAAACTAGAAGAAATGGAACAAACAGTATCTAGTGTTAAAAGGGCTTAGATGGCTACTTCATTAATGAAGGCTAAAAAAGCTTATTTTATTGCATCTGGCAAGATGGAAGCTGAGAGAGAAACAGATTTTTCTCTAAACCAGTTGGGTGTGAACACAAGGAAAGAGCTCTTTCCCCTTGAAGGTAAATGTCAACATAAAACCCTCATGGAAATGAAGTGACTGTGAATATATGTAGGCAGAGAGCAAGGAGGTTTATAGGGACCACAGCAGTGAGGTCTAGAATGAGCTTTCCAAAAAGAATATGGGAGAAAGAAAGCAAAACTCATTTCTGAATTATCTGATTCGGTTTTAGAAAAGGGACTTATATGATGCATTTGTCCATGCTGACAGGTCCGGACTTGACTCAGAGGATCCTTTCTGTGTGTATCTTTGCTACAGCTTAAACTCAAGTGAAACATAACCCGGAATTATTCTAGTCTCTGTCATTCTGTCGAAAGTTATAATGCTCCGTCACGCTTGAACTGCTTTCACTCAATGTTTCTCCCAGTCCTTCACTGTCTTTTCCTTCTTTACTAAGCTTTTTTTCTAGGCTATTAAAAATGTGTTCTTTCAGGTGCTCTGGTGAAGATATGGCAACTGTTACGCCACGAAAAAGGAACTATAGTTCTACTGATACTGATGGGTATGTTAACTAGTCATAAGTGTTTTTTTTTTTTTTTCCTTTCCTCTGATTAAAAACCAGTTCTCCGATGCTTTGCCGTTTACACATAGACGTAGCCCTAAGCAGGTCACAAAAGCAGTAGAAAGTGGTTGTTAACTGATTGTTAGGAAACTTAAGAAATAAAAATCCTGGCAATGTTCTGGTAACACTTCAGAAGAAGAAGAAAGTCCAATTTGGAGAGATTTTGATATACAGTAGAGAATTACTTAAAGCTCTGCACAAATATTCCTAAGTGTTAATGGAAAGAAGGTATCTTTTTTTATATATATATATGTGTGTGTAAAAAAGTGCTTATTATTTTTCCCTTAAATCTGATGGAGGAGAAGCCATTGACCATGGACAAAAAACTGAATTTTAAATCTGAAATAATAGGTTGTTCTTTGTTCTTTCATAACTACTAGCTGAACAGACTTTTCTCATGTTTGTCCTGTATTTCCCCCGTAAACATATTTCTGGGTGGAGACCAAGAGTGAAGTTTGATCGGTCAATTAGAATGACAAATACTTGAGCAAGCAAGTACTGTTTCAGTACTTACTGAAGAAATACCTCACTCTGTTATGAACTGAGCAATCATATATAATATGTTACAGCCAGAAGGAGGAACAGCTGAAAATGACCTTTATATAAACTGTATATCTGTGTATATTCTTAGCTAGCGGGTTCAAAACTTATTAGTGAGGAACTGACAAGTTTCTAGGCTCTCCCATAGCCATCAGAGTGGTATATGACTTTTGCCTTTTGGGAACTGGTGTAAAAAAGGTGGGAATTTTTTTCCCTATTTTTTTTTTTCTTCCAGCTTTACCAATCAGACGTACAGGAGAGGGGAAGGTAAAGACAAGCTTTTTCAGAAGCACAAATCTCAGTTGACAGAGTTGGTCTGAAACATATCAAGCATTTCTTTTGCTTAATCATTGACAGCACTGATTATGTCAACAACATTCCAGAAAGTAAAATGACCGTTGTTTTCCTGTGCTTTAAGAAGTTCAGGCAGGAAAATAGATTAGAGGTTTCAAAAAGAAGTGGTGTGAATGGCAAGAAATTCTTATGCCCTATGTTGATCTCTGTTCATGTTTGTTACTGGACATGTACTAATATAGGCAACTAGTCTGAACTAAACTTCACTGTTATTTAAGCCAAGCAGTTACGGAAAGGTTTTCCATAGTATAGATGGTGTTTTGCTTTTCAATGTTTTTTGTAGTGTATCCTTAGCGTTTGAGACGCCAGTGAAAAAACTGATGGCAAGCTTTGATGAAGATCTGTCTCCGCTCAAGAAATCGAGAAATAGTTGGTGTGCTTCTCAAATAAAAAGATTATCTTGCTCCAGTGATGAGCATAAAGAAAATGAGGCTATACCCACGAAGTCATCACTGTCAAGGAAGCTGGATAATTCTCCTCTTCAGACAGCCAGTGTTCCCACAGCTGCATGTAGGGAATTCTCAAATTCTAAACTATCCCCAAAGACTGCTGCCTCGTACAAGTCCATCGTGCCCGTGGTGTCCTTTTATAGCAAGGAAAAGCGATACCTTACTCCTCTTGAGAGGAAACAACTGAATGAGAACTACTCTTTTGGTGAGAGGAAAAATGATGAAAATCTCCCAACTGCCAGTAGGACTGAGAAGACTGATGTGAACTTCAGCAAGAATATAAGCTCAAAACCAGCAAAGCACACAATAAATTCCAGACATGGTAAAGCTGTCCCCAAAAAGCTTAAGAAGGCAAAGGGAGATATGCCACCTGGTAAACCCAGCGCAGAGAAAGAGAATGCTAATTGTCTAATTAAAAAGAAAATGGAGTCACCTTTCAGAGTCCTAAGCATGAAAGTCAAACCCGCTCTGAAACTCCAGTCAGGAGCAGCATTCTTTTCTGTCAGAAAGAAATCACACTCTGGTTCTAAAAAACTACCTGTAGACCCTAAGTCACCCCAGGAGTCCCCCCAGGAGCCCCCCCACTCTCCACAAAGAAACGATCAACCCAGGCTTCTGAGAGCTAATCAGTCTAATTCAGCTAATACAAAAAAGATTCTTGAGGCTGGTGGTATATCGAGGAGTATTTCTGTGCCTCAGAAGAAGGAAAAAGAAACCAGGGAGGGATTTACAAATATCAAAAATGAAGAGAGAGAAGCAGTTTGTGAAGGCAAGACATCTCTGCAGAAAAGTGAAAGCACCTCTGTCATTCAGTTTTGTACTTCAAAATCTCCAGCTGTGGAAGATACTGATGCAGAGAATGTGGTAGGTAGAGGTATGACCAGAGCGGGCATAGGTATTCGGGTGCCATGCGCTGAGCTTGCTTAGCAAGCTGGAAGTAGTGCATGCTCTCGTTATTCGGATATAGGGTACTTAGTAAGACATGTTAGTGGGTTTTGACTAAGAAAACTTTTACAGATTTGTTCCTGCCTTATGAAGGCATAAAACTGTGGCAAACCTTTAATAACTTTATGCTGTCATCCCTGTCTGTTACTACTGCTACACCGCAGTGAAATATTTCATTTATGATAGCTGAAAGGAAAGCTTTTTGGATGATGTTTTGCAAAAGTTAATCTGTATCTATTTTTTTTTTTTTTTTTTTGCACCATCAAGGGCAAAGCTGGAAAAGAATTTCTTAAACATGTCCTTTTTTGTCTTCTATTTTAATAAATGTAACAAATGCCAAGTCTGACCTTCCTGAATTTTGTAGGAGGTTCTGAGCTTGTATCCTAGGCATACTCCCTAGGTAGTCCGTCTTTTTTCCAAAAGATAAGTCCTTAAAACTGGAGGAAGGAAGTGTTCTCGAGAGCTCTGCTGCAGTACTCCTTGAAGACACTTCCCCTGCCCCGGCTTTTCCTGGGCCTAAGCCTCTCAACAAGTGAAAGAGTTGGTCAGAGAAAGCAAAACTTATCTTTATGTAGAGATTTCTTCTGGGTCATAAGAGTTTTGTTTGCTGGTAAAGCCAGCTGGCATCACTCAAATTATTGCATAGGCTGTAATCTGGTCTGAGATTATCTTTTAGCAATTATATTCTCATTAGAAACCATGTGTGCTAGTTCTGTAGTTCACTTAGCCACAGAAGTGAGACAAAGCCCAAATTTATCATGTTTTTAACAAACCAATAATGAGTTTACTGAGCTGGTTTGTATTTGAATAATTTTAACCTCTTAGTGTACTACTGAAGAGGTACAAGCGATTTCTATCTGTTGCTGACTTTGCAGTGAACGTATTTCCAGTGTTTGAGAGGGAAGACGTTTTCTGGGATTTTTTTTTAAGGGAACCTCTGTCAAAATAATAATAATTTTAAAAAAAAGTGACAGCATATTTTTGTAACATACTTTTAATTCCTGTGCAAATATGTCTAGCAGTGCTGGAATGGTTAAACTTAGAAATGAGTCTAGCTCATTGCCAAGCAGTTAATTCTTGCCAGACCTCACTTTTAATTTTATGATTTGCTAGAGAATTGTTTAGTTTGGGGTGTGGATTTTTCTTTCTCACTTAGTGCCTAGGTGTGAAAGGTAAGGGTGGCAGTGGAACGGCTATAAAATATGAAATTGGAACAGGTTTTCATACTATTTCATTACACTTAATGCCATATTTTGCTGTTGCATTCTGTCACCTAAAATGTATGGAAACATTGGAATACATTTTAGTAATTTATATTAGGCATTGGAAAGAAACAATGAACAAGGTGGGAAGTTGTTTTTATAGGACTAATGTGTTTTATATTCCTACATTGGTTCAATAAAGGAAAATTTACTGCCTTCTTTGTTCACCTGTACTGTGTTAGTATCTCTCTCACATTCCTGATTTGATTGTCAATGTGTTTTTACAATGCAGCATTAATAAAAGACAAATGTTGGCTTGTGCAATCTGATCTTGCACATGCAGTGAAAAATATTAGCTTGAAAGCATTTGGGTCTGCTGTGATTGCAGCTTTTGTGCTGGCAAACTATTTCTGAGAGGGTGATCGTGAGAAGAGTATATGAAAAAGAAACACAGGGAGTTTGTTATTGCAAAATCAATATAGGCCAGTCTTGGGCCTTGATCTGGTAGATCATTTCTGATGGAGCCAGTTTTACCTGATGAAATAGGAAATAATACGTAGTCATATGCAAAAGAACAGCGTTTAAGGCAAAAGTGAGTCTGGCAAACTTTGTTTGCAGGAGGTTTCCAAAAGCTATGAAGGTGCGTGGTTCTAGACAGAAAATGAAGCACAGTGCCAGAAGTGCTAAACTGAAGAAGTACTACAAACCTCTACATTTAGCATTTAATAAAAAATAAATAAACATAATAATTAAAAAAGCAGTAGCAGGTAAATCGACCATACATAAGTGTTACTGAGAATCAAAAAGCATGGTCATGATTTGTCATAAATTGAATTTGGTCTTACCATAATAAAGGCAGGTAAATGAGAAATAAGTTGATGATGTTTTAAAGTCCACAAGGTTGCAAGTAACCTACCTGAAAAGTTAATCACATAAAGAGTTATCTTTTTGCCCTAAAAAGTTTTCTTAATTTATAGGATTTTGATGAAATTAGTTCTTCTACTGCCTGTGAATCAGATGATCAGGAGATTATTCCTTCAAGCCAGTCTCCATGTGAGGGGAATAAGAAAGGTGAGTAAGATTATGCATGTCTTGGTGTATGACCTTTGTTGCCATGGGAAAGTGAGGTGGAAGGGATTTTAAAGTCTTTCTAGATTATCTCCTTTTCCCCAATAGGACCAACTCTACTTAAGTCACTAACACTAACTAAGTCTACTTTTTTTTCTTTTTCTAATAGGTTAGACAGTAATGCCTGAGATTCCACAGTCTCCCTGACAAATCTGTTTTAATGTTGAATAATACATAAATTTTATTTGTATCCTGATGTCTAACTTATCTTCCATCTTCATGTTACTGCTTACCCTATTCCCAATGTGATTTGGGAAATTATTATATTTGAAACCTATTATTATCTATCTCTGCATTCTTTTCTCTCCAGGCTACATTGACCTGATTCTTTCAGCTTTCCTTTTAAGTCTTGCTTTTGTATCTTGATAAGTTTTTGTTTTGTTTGTTTGTTTGTTTGTTTTTTTCTGTCAGACCGAGCCATATCTGCAACGTGCTTCAAAACAGGCCTCCATCTGAGGCCTTACTGGCGTAGAGTAGCAGAAAGGGAGTAGTTCATGTTTCACATGCCGTGCTGTTGTATGCATTTCCAAAGAAGCATTGTGCATTTGGTTGGAGATGCACAATAACTGAAGCGTTTAATGCACAGCTGCTGCCCAGAGAGTTGGCCCCTATCTCTTATTCTTGCACCTCTTTATCTTTAGTAGTTCCCCTTATCCTTATTTCAGTATTTGCTTCTGACCATTTTGAATTTAAGAATGCTTTCTAAATTAGATTTTAAAATGCTCCTCTCTGCTAGCTGTTATTAACAAACTTAGAAGTATATGTTATTCCTTCATACATTTCATTCATGAAACTGTTTATTCCTGATAGTCACCTAGAGAACTCTATCCTTTTTCTTTTGACAGTGGATTATTGGCATTATTTGAATGTGACTTTTTTCCCCCGACGCCACTTTGTTCTTCTTGTAGTGGTTTCTCCTAGATCATGTTTCCCTATTGACACAATACGATTTTCAGAACTTTTTCAGAAGTTAATATATTTACCTTTAAGGCATCTATTGTTTCTTTCCTTCCTGGAGAATGACAGGTGGCAATAAAAAGAAATTATGCTGCTTTTATGTTATTTTATTGAGGCAGAATAATATGTTGGCCTTTGCCTGCCATCTCATTCTCCAAATATGTGCTAATATGAGCCTGTATGTTTGCAGAAATTGAGGTTATATTGTTGATCACTAATTTCCTGATTTCTCCATTTTTTTTTCCCCTTTTAAAGATAGGTAGTATTCCTTTTTCTAGCATTTATGTGTTCTCCAAATTGCCTCAGCAGCCTAGGGTTAATTCAGTCTTGGCTGCTCTGAAAATGGTCAATTGAATCAAGTGTTCTCTTTACATCTTTCTTTATGCCGTGCCAAGTTGGTACCCCCTTTGTATCTTAATTATGATCACATAATCACAACTGATCACCACTAATTATTGTATTGATGGCAGAAATAAAAAGGCGTTAAATATTTTGTCATATCTATCGTCTGTTTTGGTGTTCCCTCCTCTTTCAGTGGCAGACGCTTCTTGGCCCTCCTCTTCCTACTGTAGAATGCTTTCTTGCTGCTGTGGCCTTTCTAGTTATAGCTTATTTTGTATTTTGGCGTTTCTGATTTCAATCCTTCATGTTGTTGCTATGCTTTCCCCTAATTTCTGTTCCCTGTGTGATTCCTTGAGTTCCCAGTCGGTGAAGAACTTGTGATTTAGCCATGTTTGTCTCTTAATTCACTTCTTCCATGCTGGAGTAAATTGGACATCTGGTGTTAATCTTTTTCTTGAGAAACTGCCAACACTCCTTCACTTGTTTTCCCCTTTAGACTTGCTTCCCATGGGAACTTATTTATCTGATTTTGGAACTTACTGAAGTTTATTTTCTTGAAGGTCATCATCTCTCTGCTGTACTTCCCCTTTTTGTTCCAAAGAGTCGTGTACTCTTTTGCTGCCAGCCACATTTCTTTCCATTATCTCCACCTCTTTACTGAAAGACTCCCTCATTGTTTTCTCCACCTGTATGCAAAAGCTGTCCTCATCCCATTCCAAAAGCTTGCTTGACAGTATTGGCCTGTTGGACACCACTTGCCCGTCGTTTTTCCAAGAAGTGTCTGGGCCTTGTAACGTCCTGCATTTATATAAAAGTCTTATGCTTTTTATCATTTATTAGTATCCTCATGACTCCTGTTCTTTTCCATTTGTGAAACTAACAAGAGACTCTTTTTGGGTGTCCTGTTTCCTAGAAACAGCTGGTTCAACTTTATGGTATGTTTTGGAGGCTGTTAGGACCAGCTTTTTTGCTTATATACATTAGTATGTTTTCTGTAGCTGCTAAGGAGTCTCTGTCTATGTGGAAATGCGGTCAAAATGTTACAAGAGCAGAAAGCAGCCAGCAACTAAACTTTCTGTACTTGAAGGGAAAATATTCCTGACTAATAACTTACATGTCTTTCCTTACCAGCTTTGCTAAATTATCCCAGAACTTGCAGCTTGTATGCTTTAACCTAGTGTTGAGTCGGTGATTTTTCCCACCTTCTCCAGGACGAAGAAGCTGTAGCGTCAGGCTGTCTTAGCCAAAGGAATGGAAAATAGGAACGGAAACCTATGCTTGAACGAACGTTATTTGTTATAACAACTTTGTAAATAGCCAAGGAAGCGCTACGCTATTGTGGCAGGGGTTTCTGCTTGATATAATTGTTCAGAATTCCAGTGTGAGAGGGTAAAGCATAGGATAGCCTGATCAACGTCATTTAAGTGAGTTGAAGGTAACTATTTCTGGATACCAGTCATGAACAAATCTTATTATACTACAGTGTCAACAACTTCTTGGTACTTTTATAAACTGTTGTATATAGGAGCCCAATGTTTCATACTTGCGCGTGATTTCAAAGTCTCATTGGTTCCTGAATTACTGTTTCTGTGTATCCGTATGTTCTGTAACTAAAAATTATTTTAAACCACGATAACTTTATTAATCTTTTTCCAGTATCCTCTTCAGCTGCCGTTGTCTACCCCATATTCAGTGCACCCTCTGCTAGCAGGAAAAGGTATGTTAATTTTTGCTAACGTTTCCAGAATGATCAGAAGTTTCATATCTGCAGAGTCGTTATTTTTTAAAAAAATAGTACTCATTCTAAAAGTAATGATGGCTTACCTTGCTGTCTCAGTGTATTGAGACAAAAGAAATAATTCTAAGCTTTCAGAACCTGTCTTTTAAAAAGGAAGATGAAAGATTAACGTTGCTTTGGTCTAGGGCACTGATAGCCTGAAAATAAGGAAATGCATGCTTTCTACCTGCCTCTAGTACATTGTGAATTTGGATATATTGTTATTAAGCTGGTGGGCCTCATTTTTTTCCGACTGAAAAAGAAGTAATAGTACTTTTCTCTTAAGTGTTGTTAATGTTCATGATAAAATCACCAGAACTAGGGGACTGTTTCTGGATATGTTCATCACCAAGAACGGCAAAGCCTGGATGTTATTTATCCCCCTATCTGGAGCTTTCATAACCGGCAATAAATTAGCTGAGTTGTATGTACTGGCTGTTCCTCAGATGTCTGCATCTCTCTTTAGCCAGAGAACCTTGACATTTCTAGCTACAAATCTGATTTGGTAGCAGAGTTGTCAAAACAAATCGTCTTTATTCAGACGGTTTGGCAAGTGCAGTATAACGTTGCTTGCTGGGCATACGATAAGTGCTGAGGCATAACTCTCCGTCATTAGAATCTGAAAAAGCATAGGTAAATGCATTTTAACCTGTTGCACTCTAGACAATTAGTAAACATAATATGTATTCATAAATTTACTGCACATTCATCACCCATCAGTCTGTTTACCTTTCTTAAGCTGGTATTCTGGAATACTCTTCTTTGAATTCAGTGTCAAACTGATACCACTCTGCCATCAGGTTCACTGCTTTTCTATATTAACTTTTCCGTAGGTGTGTTTTTGCTACTATTACAGTGCCGTGTCTAACATTGACCAACATCTTCATGGTTTGCAAGTCTGGGGAGTATCTCTGTAAGAGGTACTACTATACAGAAGGTTCCTGAAATGTAAAGATCTAACATAGCTGCGCTAGTGAGGTGCTTCTCGTGTTGCACTGGTTTCCTGAGAAGTTTAAACCAACAGCAGCAGATAGCAGCGTGCTCAAGACTTTTGCCATTTGATCTAGCTGCAGAAATGAGACAGAAGTTAAGATAAAAATGGGTGAAAAGAATTAATTGAAGCATCCACTCATCTCTTCCACTTCCCCATGTTTATCTCAGTGGGTCTTTCATAAGTCTTTTGGGCAGTTTTTGATATTTAGCATGATGTAAAGGAAGCACAAGCTGTAAAGCTTGCATGAACTGCTTGCTTAAATTGCTTGCAGGAACTAAGACTCTGCAGTTGTACTAACTGGTGTCCATGCTTCCAAAGAGCTTATTTCTTCAATTAATTTGTTGCCGTATTCTTAGACTTATAATGGAAAGACTTCTGTTTTCTCACACAAGAACCAGAGCTACTAATCCCTCTCCCGTATTGAATCGACTTCTTGATACATTTTGTTAAATTAGGCTCACAATGTTTTTATTGTTAACATAAAAAAACCACTTGAAATTACTTCTAAAAGAGCCAAAATAAACATTCCAAAATTTGTCACACTACTGTAGTCCTCTGCCCCAGAGAAGTTTTGAGAGATCTGATTACAGAATTTAGTTTGCTTCCTCATATGGCTTTTCAAATACCTTCTGTGGTGCAAATGGAACTCTGGAATATGTGAAAATTCTGGTGTTTGTGATTAACTAAAAATTGGTCTTGGATTTGTGCTCATCACTTCCCAAGAGATGACAGCAAACTTTTCCTACTTATAGTCACTGCTTTGGAAATTCTCCTTAGAATCTAAATCTAGAAAAGCGCTTGGCGCTTGTATCTCTAAATTAGTTCCATGGTAAGGTTCATTGCTCAACCGTTGGAACTTCCCACTTTAGGACTGCGAAGGAAATCCCATATGCATACATACGAAAGTCTACAGGTAATGTTAGAAAAAAAACTGTGCAATTATTAATAAAACTCTAACATGTGCTTCCCAGTAGCTCAAGCCCATGTTATCAGTTAAAAAATTCATATAAAGGCTTCATCTGGATCTTTAGCTCTATAAAGAATTCCTCTTGGCCTTGCCTTCAGTCTGCTCACCTCCTTGGTTAGCTGTGTATTATGCCTCAAAGGTCAGGAAGCTGTCCCTAGTAGATTACAGTGGAGAGCTTAGCTCCAGTACCAAGGGAGTTTTCCTGAAATGCTGCGGATCCTTTTGTCTAAAGATGTTGTTAACATGAGGGTCCTTGATTTGTTGATGATGAAGCAGAAAATGGGTGGGAGAATGGTCTTGGGACCCCAGCAGTATGTGGAGTGTGGCCTTCAGACCAAGCTACGGTAAATCTTGGCCAAAACTTTGTGAAAAATTCTTGTATGCTTAGATGAAAATGTTTCATAGGTTATTGGAGTTCAATTTTTCATTTTGTTCCCTTTCTTTTTGTAAGGGGAGGTGAGTGATATATTGTGTACTTACAGTCAGCCTTCCTCACAAAATGGGAATACTTGAGGCTTTGTAACTTTGCTGCTACTTCTGCTGAGACTGGCAGAATAGGACGTTTATCCTTGCCTCATGTCACGTTGCCCAGAAATTTAGTCGTTTAGAGTTGCTCAGACCAAGATGTTGGATTATGGATTGCAGTGCAGCTGTACAGCAAAGCACACGTTCCCTTTGCCGGTCTTGCTTAAATACACAGGTATCTGTAGTTATTTCTTTGCGCTCATCTCTTTGAGCCCCTAGGTAGTTGGGGACCTTACAAAGCCAGAGGGCTCCTAAACTAATAGAAGGGTAGGCTCTGCATTTTCCACTTGCGCCCTTGGTGCAGAGTTTCTGACTCTGGGATTTGATTCAATGCCTGACATTGGCTTTTGGTGACCTGTTCTGTTGCTGAGTGTTGGGTTTATTGTCTAAAGGCTGTATTGCAGCACTTAGTGGCTACAGTCCTCTGCCAGGATTTTGGGTTTGTTGTGCTTTGCCTTGAAAAGGGAGGTATGGTTTTGAATGCCTGGAGTGTACTAGGCACTGACCCCTTGCCAGTTGTAGTAAGCGGGGTTCTCTCTTGCCATGTGTTTAGGTGAGAGATTACAGCTGTAATTTTATGCAGAAACTGGACATTGAAGGGTATATAAGGAGCATAGCTGTGGGATTGTTGAGAGAAACTTTGATTTTTGGATCCCAGTTGGACTTGGGTGTGAGAGTGTCAAGCCTGAAGCTGCCTGAAGCTCTGAGCTTGCACAGAAGTGTTTTGGATGTCTAGTCGTGATTGAGCAGTAGTCTAAGGATGCAACTACTGGCCTTGGACAGTTTCCATGCTTCATGGATCTGGACCTCTGCTTTTCAGTTTTTGTTGTATATCTCTTTGTGACTTTTCAAGGAACTGCTGAGTTATGGCGAGTGGTAATGCCCTAATGTCCTTGAAATAGCGTGCTTGTGGAAGTGAGAGAGGTGCTTAGTCAATTTAACTCTTCTGATGCAATTGCTGTTCTTCCTGAAGCATCCCTCCTTCCCTGCAGAGGACTTGGCACCACAGCTCTCAAGAACCTAGCTTTGCTGTATCTGGTTTAGTTGAGGGTATTCTGTAATAAATGTTGCTACTTTATCCTGAGCACCGGACTTGCGATTTAACCTTTTTATGGAATAACTAATTTGTCTCTGAAACGATTTTTCAGGGCACAGGCTAACCTAGATGAATTGACTCTTCCGTGTGGATCCAACCCACCTGCAAAAATGGCTCACAACCTGCAGAAAAACAAGAAGACAAAAGAACTCTGCAAGCGCTCCAAAGATCAGATGATAATTGTAAGGTTCCCTTTAGGGTATTCTGGATCCTTTGGGTAGCCTGTCACTGTGACAGTGAGGAAATGAGAAATATGTCTTGAGGCTAACCAGTAACTAGATTTCCTTAGATATAAACCTCAAACAAACCACACTGCAACTACCATAACAGGACAGTGATTGAAGTATTCAGCACTACACTCAATTTTAAGTATTGAATACCTCTTTTTCCAGAAGTTCAGATGCTAGGATAGTAGGAGTAGTTGGGAAATACATTCTTATGGTTTCTCTGGGACTAACACTTTTTTATATTTCAAAATTAATAAGAGCTTTATGGAACATGATGTTTAAAAAACAAAAAACCGAAAACAAACAAAAACTCAACCAAGCCTGTACAGATACTATAGGAGTGAGTTTGTTTGACTTTTTTTCCTTTCCCACGACTTCGTGGCCTGCTGTGTGAGCAGAGTCAGCACAGTACTGCAACCGCAGCAGCAAATGGCTAATGTCAGCAAGGGCAGTACAGAAGTAGGAATGTGCTTTCCCCCCTCACCCCCCCCTTTTTTTTTTTTTTTTTTTTTTTTTTAAAGTCATTCTGTAGCTAAGAGTTTAGCCTGAAATGTAGGTCTGTTAATTCATGGTTGCCTGTTCAGTAGATGTGTATCTCTTCCTGCTTTTGCCCAAAATCATTAGCAGTCAGTTACAAGATACCCATCATGTACATGGGTTTCCAGAAAATATGCCCTCAGTTTTAATTAATCTTTTTATTAAACCATTCTAACTCAGTGACATCCATGACTTTTTTCAGCCCGTTTCCTGAGGAAATGGGGTTTATGTGATCATTCTTGTCTATTGATTTGCCCTTCTAGCAACTTTTCAATCTGTTAGACAATTTCTGCCAAATTTGACAAGAAGAGCAGAGTACTCAAAGATACAGATTCTTGTGAATGTTGTAAAAATTGGTCCACGTGAAAGAGAGGAGCCCAGGTGAGTGCCTGCCCTGAGAGGAAAGCTGCAGTATGTACACAGTACATCCGTTGCCCTCGCTCACCGAGGGCTGGCTGGCCGGCTGGCAAGCCTCAAGCTCTAAACCCGCCGCAGCGCAACGCAGCGCTGCTTTGTTTAACTAGCTGCTGGCCGGGCACGTGAGGGAGCAGGGATGGACTGTAGATGCTGTGAGATGAGAGGGGAGCCCATACTGGGCGCTCAGGGAAGGGAAAGCAGCTGCTGCGTTAGCAGGCGAAGCAGGGAAATAAGACATGCATTCATTGAAAAAAAAAAAAAAAAAAAAAAAAAAAAAAAAAACTAGGCTTCATTTTGTTTTACTACTTAAAGAGTAACCTGCTGTTTGTTTGCACAATTGACATTTAATGCCTTCTCTTCCCCTCCCTGTGTCCTGACATATAAAGCAAGCCTTTTTTTTTTTTAAGTAGGACAATATAGTCTTTTCACCAGTTACTTGTTTTTTGTGTTCTCTTAGATTGCTTGTTTATTCAATGAGAATGTTGCTGATCTGTCTATTCCATATCCAAATAATGGATTCATCATATGCCTTGAATAAGTAAATGTTGTATAGTTTTAAATGTTCTGCAAATAAAGAAAAGTTTGTCCTCTTCTTTTCGAATTCAAATGAAACCAAATATTTGAGTCTTTAATTGTTACTGTGATCAATTCTTAACCTAATTCCTAAATTGGTTATTTTTTTTTGAACAGCTGTTCAGCATGCTTGATGTTCATGCTTAGCTGATACTGTTTCTTACCAGGATGCTGGTCAGAAGCATTTTGGGGCTGTCGTTTGCAAGTCGTGTGGCATGATCTACACAGCCGCTAGCCCAGAAGATGAAGCCCAACACATCCAGCACCACGAGAGATTCCTCGAGGGACTCCGATATGTGGTGAGGCAAAGGTTGCATTTGCATGTGAGCTAAGGAACGTTGGAGGAAGTAGTGCATGTTATTCAGGTACTAAAGTCAAGACAGCTGCAGAAGAGGTTTTGTCCTCCAAAGGGGAGGCTGAAATAAAAGTTGCATGCAATTCCAGCAACTGTCTGTGTTCATAAAGTTGATAAATGTGACTTGACTTTCTTCCTGAAAACTGAAGTGGTTCAAATTACACCTTCATCTGCCAAAGTCTCCACTGAATCACTTCCTCTCTCTTGCTAGATCACTAACTTGTTTTTTGGGTTTTTTGTTTGTTTTTTTTTGTTTTCCTTGGCAGGGCTGGAAGAAAGAACGGGTTGTGGCAGAGTTCTGGGATGGGAAAATTGTATTGATTCTTCCAGACGACCCAAAATACGCAGTCAAGAAGGTGCAGTTTTTCAGTTTGGGGTTTGTCGTGGGTTACTTTTCTGCTGGTTCAGCTCCACAAACTACCTCCGTGCATGACCATATGTTGCTTGCCAGTGCACAGGAGGGAATAGGAGAGCTGGGTGGGATTATTACAGCTTGGACTTGAGCAATCCAGGTTGCTGTGGACATACATCCTAACTGTTCCTCTGGAGAGTGACAGCTGTCCCACTCCCAGGCCTGAAGCTCTTGTTCTTAAGTGACCAACATAACCTGATCCCTTCTGTACCAGGGAGGAGGGATCTGCAGCTGTTTTAGCTCTTTGGCGCTGAGATACGAGCCACTTGCTCTCCCTGAGCATTTATTTTCGTGGGTAGTTCCATGAGCTCCAGGAGGCATGGATTTCTTACACAAACGCGCTTTGTTGGAGTGAGCTAGTACTGTTACCTGGCACTGAAGTCGCTACAGCACGAAACAGGCTGGTATGAGTAGTCGTAGGGCTGGGGTGAGAGGCAGCTGTGCTCCGTGCCCCGCAGGAGATGTAGCGGTAAGAAGACGCTGCTGGAGCCTGTCCTCTTACTCTGATTGGTGTCATTGGCTCAGTACAGTACAATGCTGAAAAATGCTGCTTTTGATGCCAGGGCAAGATAGTTAACTAAGTTGTCCAAAGAACTGCTCTCTCTAGCTGCAGAGACTCCTTTTCTATGGACTTGACTGAAGAAAAGTGGGTTTTGGACATCTGTACTTTGTTGCCTACACAATTTGCCCGTCTGTGAGGAGATGGCTGTTCTGTTACAGGACTGCTTCTTGTTTAAAAACTGTTTTTTAAAAAAAGAAAAGTTTTAAAAACTGTTTCTGAAGAGACTGTTCCTAAATAATAGGCATTGAAATGCAAGTCTCCTGCCAGACTAGCTACATGTGCAGCAAGAACCCTGGTATCGTAGGGAGTTGCAAAGTGTTTCGCAGCTACATCGTGAAGCCTTACTTTGGGTGACCATAGAATTATACTGGGGGAACAAGCCCCAGTTCTAGCAGGGTTCACTCCGAGTCAAAGAATGTGCGTGTTAGCTGCTAACATGGCCCTGTTTTTGTTTTCTTAGGCAGATGATGTGCGAGAAATTGTAGATAATGAACTAGGATTTAAGCAAGTTACTTTGAACTGCCCAGCCAAGACCAAAATGTATCTGTTTGTGTCCAATGAGAAGATGATTGTTGGGTGTTTAGTGGCTGAATCAATCAAACAGGTACATGTTATTAACTGAATGGATGGGGGGCAAAATTGCAGGCTAATGACTGGGGTTGTTAGCGTAAGCTATACCAGAAATCCTGGCCTTGTGTAAGAAAGGGAAAAATAAAATTGACAAAATGACTTTGGCGCTCGAACTCTTGTCAGAGGTGTTGCTGAGAGGAATTTGTATGGACTGATACTGATATAGCGAGCTTCCATTTGAACGTGGTTTGGGTACCGCTTTATGCAGTGGTTTGCCTTGTAAAAACAACAGAAGACATAGTTGGGGTTATAGTTACGTTGGCTGCTATACGTCCTTTCAGGAAGGAGCAGCTTAATGCCTCTGTTTGTCCCTGCCAGGCTTTCCGGGTGCTGTCAGAGCCGGGAGCTGCGCAGTCCCCTGGGCAGGATGCCCTGCAGCACCAGCGAGCCTGGCGCTGCTCCGCAAAGCCCGAACCCGCCATCTGCGGAGTCAGCAGAGTCTGGGTGTTCAGCCTGATGCGCAGGAAGGGGATCGCGCGTCGCATGGTGGATGTGGTCAGGTACAGAGCTGGGCCAAGTCTCTCCCGCCTGCAGTGTGGGAGAGGAAGCCCAGGAAAGCAGGGAGCAGCGTTGGATTGGGATTTGAGCTGATGCTTACTCTTGAGGAGAAAGTGGCGATTGCAGCAAAAAGCATTTAGACGCAGCTTAGGTGCTTTGTTCCTTAAAGGAAAGGTATAAATTTGTATTATTAAGCAAGTCTGAAATCCTCACTCTCTAGTGAAGAGGTATCAAGTGAATGGATTAAAAATATGTAACTCAAGATCTGACACAAGTGTGGGCCAAGTTATTAAGTGCTGGGTGTAACATGAACACAGAGCTACATTGACTGGATTTTTAAAGAAAAACTATTTCTGTTGGAAAGGAATATATTTTTTTAATTGAACTAGTTGATGTGCTTGAAAACTTGAGTTTTTCCAGGTGGGAAACTCCAAGCATTTCAAGTGCATTTAGCTTTGATGAAACTAAAAAGCATACTTTTGAGAAACTTCCCTGTGTATTAACATGGGTCCTTGAGGTTTAACTTCTTAGTAGTCTCTGAGCTCTTAGTAATACACATCATCTTTGCTCATAGTATCTGCTCACTATGTATTTGTAAAATATAGATTCTTCTGTTTTGAGCTCAGGATTCTTAAAATTCACCAGCCAATGTTTGATTTCCATTTCCTCCTATTCTGTGGTTAGTGTTTGACTTGCCAGTAGATGTACTACCTCCTTAAAACAAGTGAGGCTTCTGCGCTTCCAGGCCCGTAGGAAGTATGAGACAAATGGACCTCAGGCGTCTCCCGAGCATCGAGAGGTTACTGGCATTGCTGGGGTGGGCTTCGCTCAGGAACTGCTCTGGGACATGAAACTGAAACCTCCGGGCTTCCAGATAAAATTGCAGGGGGTGTAGTGGTATTCTCTGTACTCCGTCTTGTATTATCCTTTTTGCTACTCTTAAACATCCTCCTGATTGATTAAGCCAGAATCCAAGACAGCAAATAGGCATCTGAAACCTGTCCTCTCTGGTTTGAAAGCAAGGGTATAAAAGAAATACCAGCTCCCTGTGGAGAAGGGGCGGGAGAGAATCTCCAGTGTGGACTGTTTTACAAGTCAGATAAAACAGCCTATTACTTGCACTGCACTCATAGCTCTGTTCTCTTTCAGGAACACGTTCATGTATGGGTGTTACCTAAGCACGGATGAAATCGCCTTCTCTGACCCAACACCAGATGGCAAGCTGTTTGCAACTAAATACTGCCAAACCCCTAACTTCCTTGTTTACAATTTTATTTGTTATAATCAAGTCAAATCAGTTAGTGTAAGTTGAATCAAAGCTTAATTTGTTAATCCCTCTCAAACAATTTGTGTTTTTAAAATAACAGTGAAGTGTTGTTACTGGGCCAAGCTGCATTTTCCTACTGAGCGCTAGTTCTTCTCTCCAGCTTGTGATCAAGCTGTGAGGAAAGAGGTGTGTCACTTTCTGTACAGAATTGTTATATATTTTAATGTATACTGTGAAACCAAGCAGCCAAAAGTTTGCTTGGATTTCAACTAGACTTTTAAAAAAAAGTTTATTCTGAAACTAAGTTTTATTGCAAATAACTTAATTTCTTTAAAAGTTCTGTTAATATAAAGATGTCTGTCTTCCCCTGATGCGTGGGTACTTAGCTTTCTGCAGTGTGCGTGTTTTGGTGTTGCTGTAGGCAGGAAGCGTGTGAGGATTGTGTCTGCTAACTCTAGCCTGTGGCTTGACAAAAAGCTGCCGCTAACTGGCTACTTCAAACACGCAGGAGATGAATGTAAAGGGCTGGTCTGCAGGGCCTTTGTACAAGCAGGCAACTAGAGACTAGAGCTAACACGAGCAAGAAACATCCTAAAACTGAGGCACGTAGACTTTCACAGGCACGATTTCCCCTGGTTCCAGCTGTAACGAGGGGAACTCCTGCTTGCGGGGGCAGATTCAGGGGTGGTGGGGTATGGGAAGCTGTCACTTGGAGTGCCTGTTCAATAAACTGTGTGTTGAAACCTTGCTGCCTGAGCTTATTTCTGGGCACAATAAGGGATGTGGAAAAATAGCCCAAGCTCTCCTAATTCTTTGAAAGCAGAGGGAGGGAGGCAGGCTCAAAGAGTGGCTAAAACTAGCAGCTGAAAGAAGCATATGGGAACAGGACAAAGGAATGCTATGATCTACTAGTCTTTCTTTATCCTGCTGTGTGTTTTCTTTAATAATGCCCCAGAATGCTTTTCCTTGAACAACCTACACAGGCTCTTAGTCTTGCACAATCCTGTAAACCACCCTGTTGTTGCAGAAAGCCTCCCCCTTGTCTTGTCTGCAGGCTCTGTGGTGAGTGCTCACGGCAGTCCGGGGTAATGACGTGCTCAGCGCTCACCCCTGTCTGTTGCTGAGTCCTGCGGCCCAGAACTGCTTGCAGAACACAAACACCCTCGACCAGCTGGAGAACCAAAGGAGCATCTTAGCAGAGCTCCAGGACAGGGAACAGCACAACACCCCCAGCCCTGCTGAATCTCCTGGGCCACGCTGCCCTGCAGAGCCACCTCGTACAGATTAGCAGCCCAGGGACCACTGGCTGTGAGAAGGGCAGTCTAATGGGGGGGAAGGTGTTAGGAAAACACCACCACTTTCCCATCAAGGTGGAGAAAGAAATTTATTTGAGAAGTTTTAGTCACAAAAAACAACAGAGCAACAGGACTGAACTAACAGACAAACACATACAGGGGAAGTTACTCTATTTACAATGGTAATGTGACAGTTAAAAGCACCTACCAACGGGGCACTGCACAGGGAGTGTGTGGGGGGGCAGTTAAGGACCTAAGTGCAGGCGGGAGGGGGACTTCAAGTCCCAGTCACCTCAGGCCTATCCTTAAAACGTAGTGCTAAACCAGGGGTTCTCTAATCTTAAAGAAATCAGCATCTGTTTTGAAATACACAGAACAGGTTTCACATACTATAAAGATACGTACTACAGGGATAGCTTTCCTCCTCTGTCTGAAGCTGGCCCTGCAGTACTCAGCAACACCTACCACGACTCAAGTGCACTGGACACGCACCTGTGCATGGTGGGGCACACAAAAAGCGCTCCTGAACCTGCTGCCGCGTGCTGGAGGCAGGGCACTCACTCCCAGGGCAGAGCTGTCTCCAAGACTTCCACGATGTGAGCCGCAGAGGGGCGCTTCTGTGGCTCCTCGCTGGTGCAGATGGAAAACAGTTCGATCATTCGCTGGTACGACTGGTCCAGCTCCTCCATGTTCAGGGCTGGCCTGGTTCCCAGAGCTGCATAATATGCATCATCATCGAAGTCATCTTCATCAAAAGAGTCATCTGGCCAAGAACATTTCAAACGTATCAGTAATGGCAACAGACTTGTTGTGCATGCCTCCTCTAGGGCTCCTGACACACCTTTAACTTCAGTTTCCCCTCCTTTTTTGTGCAGGAAAACAGGGTCCTGGATTTGGGCCCTCACTCCACAGGGCTGCCCTGGCCTTCACTCAGCTCTGCTCCCTTGACCCTCACAGCTTTAGGCCCTGGCCACCATCATCCATCATCCACAGCCAGGCTCCTGCCACCCAGGTACTTACAGTCTGCTGCTTTAAACCAGCATCAATCATCTTCGCCGTCCAGCACCAAGCACCAGGGTGCTGGGCCAAAGCCTCCCGCCGTCCCCGACACCAGCCCCGAGTTGCACCCTGCTGCGTGCACCTCATGGAAACAGCCGCCGCCAGCAGTTACCCAGGTGCACGGTTTGGAGCCCCGAACAGCCAGACGCATTCCTGGAGGTTTTTCCGCCCAAGAGGCCGTTTCCTTGCAGAGGGCCGGCAGGACGTGAACGCTGTGTCAGTACAGCCGTCGGCTCCTCACCGGCAGAGCCCACCTCGAGGTACTCCCTTTTGTTAGCTTTAACTACTGTCTGGGATAAATCACCAGTTTTCCTTTTGACTTAAGTTGCTTATTTTAGAGCTGTATCCAGCTCGCTTCTCCCACCAGAAGAAATCCAAGTCGCCCCTGTCAAGCCTGTGGCCTGAGAAGGGAAGTCTGCAGCTCAAACATGCTGGATGCTGAGACTGGGAGACAAGCAAGACCTGCCAGCAGCACAGACACTCCAGGTAGGGAGCGAGCCAGCCTGCCGGA